AATAATTCACATAAAGCAACACATTAGATTAGATTTTGAAGGGTTGTTGTGAAATATATTAAAAACCATTGCATTAATAAATATACATATGTATTTATGTTATTCCTATGTAAGCTTCTTTGTGCAACTTTAACATGTTAACTCATAGTTCTTTATATTTTACTAGAGGCCTGGTGCATGAATTCGTGCACAGGTGGGGTCCCACGGCCCCACCAGCGATCAGGGCCGATCAAGGCCTCGAGACCGTCTGGCCCAGTCCTGATCAGGGCCATGGGGCCCGACTGGCCAGGGGGAGGGGCTGTGGGAGGTTGGCTGGCCATGGGAGGTTGGCTGTGGGACTGCACTGACCACCAGGGGGCAGCTCCTGCATTGAGCATCTGCCCGCTGGTGGTCAGTGTGTGTCATAGCTACTGGCCAGTCATCTGGTTGTCCAGTCCTAATGGTCTCTTAGGCTTTTAAATATATAGATTCTTGTAATAAAAAACTAATAAGTAATAGTTAAATGTTTTAAAGTAACAATTAAATATGTAAATATGTTCCCAGCTCCTATTAGGAGATGGCAGGTGCAAATAGCATAATTGCAGTAGAGGATCTCATCTGGAATGGACTAGATTCTAGAGTCAGGTTGATTTGAAATTGGGCTCGGTCTAAGGGTTCTCCACAAAGGAAAGCATCTTGAGGATATTAACAATAAATGCTTTAGACACAAGAGATCAAGCATAGCTCAAGTTTTCCCTGTTCCTCGTTCCACCACCTCTACCAACCTGCTCACACATCATGCCCAGGGCCTTTGCCAGCTTGCACCTGCCATGTGCTGCAGTTGGGTTTTGATGATCTTCCTGCCTCCATTTCCCCCCTTCCCCATCCACCTGAAACCAGTGGAAGCCTGGTTATCCTTGAATACACTTTTATCAGGCTACTGGTCAAACACAATCCTTCCTAACAGTCATACGGTGCTAAACTACTCTGCTTGCTTTTCAAAATCCTGTACCCTCTCAAGTTTAGCTTATTTCCAATTACTTCCTCCACGTGGGTCAGATTGAGCTCCTGAGTGCATCCTGGAGACCAAGAGTGTTGACTCCTGCCTTCATCCATGTCCTCTCTTCTCCTGAATATAGTGGGAGTTTGACATGTATAAAGAGCACACCAGACAGAGTGTTTGAAGACCTAGGGTTAGTCTTTAAACCCACATGTCACTTAATCTTCCTGAGATTCAGCTTCCTCACAATAGAAAAAAGGACAATTACCTACCCTATGTTTATTGATTTTAGAGAGAGTGAAAGGGAGGGAGAGAGGAGAGAGAGAAACATCGATGTAAGAGAGAAACATTGATCAGCTGCCTTCCTCTAGCACCCTGACGGGAGATTGAACCTGTAACCTAGGTATGTGCCCTGACTAGGAATAGAACCTGCAACCTTTTGGTATACAGGATGATGCTCCAACCAATTGAGCCTCACTAGCCAGGGCTCATTAATAT